CACCAATTTGCGCATGGCGCATGGCGCATGCGCACCGCACGCGCAGCGCAGAAGTGCGCCGCAAGTATGGTTCCTATGCTGAAGCATGCAACTATTTATGAGTATGGTGCATAGGATTCGTGGCTATACAAACAGGCCTGACCTTGGTGAAATACCATTACTCAGCCTTGAGGGGCAACCTTTTTTTTTTCTTTTTTTTTTAACACCATCTGCTGCGGCCTCGCGGCAGGCAGGGATAAGAGAGCCCATCTCTGCCGGGGATCCGCTCATGAGGTGGCTCCAGTCACATTTGTGGGGAGTAGCCCATCTCTGCCGGCGTCCCTTGGACAACTACGACACAGTCATGTCCCTCAGTCAGTGTATGGGGCCTGCGTTGATTGCCCCCTTTTTATTAGGGGGGTGGGGGGGGGGGGTGTAACCCAATGTTTATGTTTTTGATGCAGCCCTGACATAATCCACAAAGCAGTATGAGCCTGAGCGGGCCACTTGGGTCAGGAAGTTAGCAGGTTGGGTTCGATTCATCGGAAGATGGGAAAATTCAGGTCGAAAATAGTCCTTTGAGGACCGCAGTGGTGAGGACGAACAGTGCAGAGCAAAAATGGGACTTCAGGAGTCTCAGCACAGAGTCAGCAGCCTTTTCTATTTCTTTTTCTTTTTTTTTGCGGACCATTTCACGATTTGTGCGTGTCATCGTTGCACAGGGGCCATGCTAATCTATCTTCTCTGTATCGTCCAAATTTTCACGGATGTCCCCAAGAACAGCAGCCACTTTTTTACCCACCTCTTCTCTTGGAAGTTTGGAACCATCTTGTTATGATCCTCCAACTGAAAAAAAAAAAAAAAAAAAAAAGATTTTTTGAGTCCCTAGGCTGTTTTCCGGGCCCCCGAGCACCCAACTGATGCCCGGGTACCCGCCCGGGTGCCTGGCCGGGCATGACCCCCGGGCAGGGTTCCAGGCAGCCCCAGCGCAAAAAAAAAAAACCGAAAAAAAAATCTTGTGTAGAATATTGCAATACAAACGACGTTTGACTGAGGGTCACATTAGAACTCCTCACGGAATCGGAGATAAAAAAGAAAATAACAGAATCTTACTAAGGCACCCCCCCTTTAAACCCCTTTAGCCCCATTAAAACCAATGTATACCCCCCTCCCCTCCCCCCTTGAAAGCCAACTCGCAAAAAAAGAAATGAGCCCGGACTTGGGGTCCTCTGGGAGAGCGCAGAAAACCAAAAAAAAAAAAAGTAAAAAAAAAAAGTTTTTTTCATACTTGCGGCGCATCCCGTGCACGCGGCACATGCGGTACAGAGCGCACGCGCATGCACGTGCGCACACGTGATGCGGCGCATCACAAAAAAAAAAAAAAAAAAAAATGAAAGGACAGAGTGCGGTGGACAAACATGCCCCTCACTTCTAAAAATAAAAAGCAAGAGGGAAAAAAGTTGGGGCCACGCCATACCCCAAAACTGCATGTGGGTGTGCATGTCCTAATTGTGTCCAGACTCCAGACTATTTTCCGAAGGGCCCCTACAGCGAATTAGCGAGGAACCCACATGGAGCAGAGATAGACTTTAGACTTCCAGTTTGAATACGTCGGCCGAGAACATATAGTCTGGATTCGAATTTAGGTCTGTGCATCATGGTTATGGGTCACCAATTCTCTGTTTTCTCGTTTTTCTTTTCTTAGGAATACGTGCAGTGGCCCTAAGGGCCTCTACTCACCACATGCACAAAAGACAAAACATATGGCGGCGCATTATTCCACGTTCTAGCAGAAGATTCATTCTAATTTTGCACATTTGGTGAGTAGTGCAGCCAAGCCCTGAGAATCACATGCAGAGACCAACAGGGCCTAGCTGAGTGAGCAACCCATAACTGGTGAAACACAGACCTGAATTTGAATCCTTACTATATATTCGGCCAGCTCATGCTCCACTTCATATTCACTGCCTGCCTCGATTTTGGTGGAGGGTCTGTGCTAAATTGCTGCGAGGACCCTTCAGATTACCTGCACGGGCCCTCTGATACGTGTGAAGGGGATCCATTGCTCTCTCTCTCTCTCTCTCTCTCTCTCTCTCTCTCTCTCTCTCTCTCTCTCTCTCTCTCNTCTCTCTCTCTCTCTCTCTCTCTCTCTCTCTCTCTCTCTCTCTCTCTCTCTCTCTCTCTCTCTCTCTCTCTCTCTCTCTCTCTGTCTGTCTGTATACAAACACACCTATAAAAAAAAAGAGCGCATGACTAATTTGCGCATGGCGCACCGCACAGCGCACCGCAAGTATTGTTTTTTGAACTTTTTTTGAACTTTTTCCTTTTTTTTTTTTGACGCCCGGGTGCCCGGCCGGGCATGAAGATTTTCCTGGTTTTTTACCAGTTCTCAATTTGTATGTGTCATCCTGAATTGCACAGGGGCCGCTCTAATTAAGCTTTTCTGTATCATTCTAAATCCTAATACTGAACAGATGTCCGGTTCCGATACTCCTCAACACTCTACACTTCCGGACAACAATTTTTTTCATTACATAATGTGGCCAGATGGAACACAAATCCGATATTAAACTGATAGGAACAGATCCTCGCACGACACTTCCTCTTACTTAGCCAAAAGTCCGAGAAAGGTATTCCTAGACAACTTGTTACGAGCTGAGAACGGGGAAACCCTGCAAACCATTCCACACAGAAAAATGGGAAAAAGGCGAGCAGAGAAAAAGAGTGCAAGGAAAGGGAGTTTGGTTGTCATGGTTACCTTCTTGAAGGATGGATCTGTCCTGTCAATCTTCAGAAAGTCTTGATGAATCACACGGACGTCTGTGAAGTTAGTTAGGCACATTGATATGACTGTTAAGGAAAAAAAATTAAAAGTTAAAAAAACTAGTCGTCAACCTTCCCAACCCCCTCAACAGGGAGGCCCAAGAAAACTCTACTAACTGCCACATTCCTGACAGAGTTCTGCTTTCAGTCTCAACAATATACTCTTTCACCCCTTTCCCCCCTCCTCCCCTTTGCCCCTCCACACACCATCTTTCTCTCGAATAACTGGAAGCATTGGAAGGACACTCCTGCCTTTGCACCACAGTAGCAGCTGGTCGCCTCTGGTCACCTCCGGTTTCCTTCAACGGGCTCAAGGACGGGCTCAAGGACGGTTTACACTACACCAGACCGGATACGAGAGAGCCGTCTCGAGGCAGCATTCATGTGACAGCAATCATGGTTTGTTTGTTTGTTTGTTTGTTTGTTTGTTTGTTTGTTTGTTTGTTTGTTTGTTTGTTTGTTTCATTGCCTAAAGCTCTCTCTTAGCTTAATAAAGGGACTGACAAGTCTTAAGTATGACTACGAGTCTACAACTTAAAGCTGTGAGTTTTGTAAATGGAGCGAAAGCAGCAAAAAGTCTGACCAAAGCAACTATTGCATGTCATGTCTTCTCCGGATGGGAAGAGAGCGCGGGAGAGAACAAAATCACTCCCTTTCTCCCCTTTCTGTGTTCATTGCTGTCACTCTTTAAAAAGCGATACTTTTGGCGCCTGCAAGTTCCACTGCCTCCTTGAGCCTCTTCAACCTTCTGGCATCTGCATCACATGCCATCACACAACCTTTACCATTCATCATGGCTGCAAGGTGTGTCGTCTTGTTTCCTGGTGCAGCACATGCGTCGAGAACCTGCACATTATGACAACAACAAAATTCAACGTCAACGACACGAATCAATTTCAGGACAAGAAGAACAAGAAGTCCTTTGAACTGGTTCACGAAATAATAATAATAAAAAAGTTCACGTACTGAGTGAGTATAGCAAACAAGAATGGCCCAGTGCAGATTCCTGTCGCATAACAGCAACTTTCAGTCGTGACAATCCTCGCCCCATGCCAAAAAAGATGGGCCGAGGGTAAGTTTATTCCCAAGACGGCCCCTGCCAAGCCTACATGTATTATATATTCCATATACATACACACGCCTGACCCCATGGTCCTGAACTAAGTACCCTTAGGTACCCTTAACGGTGACCTCAGCCTATTCTATTTAAGACACGCGTATTCTATTCGAGACTGCAGAGTCATATCCTCTGCAGAAACTCAATGGTTCTGCCTGCTGATGAGTCGGTAGAAGTCAGGGAGGACAGTCTGCCATAGCCCACCCTTTTTATCCTTTTTCTTCCCTTCTGCCTACAGTTTACCGGTGCGGACTTTGTGCTTGCATTGAAAACTTATTTGCGTCGGACAACGATTTGATTAGAAGGCCCCATCGTCTCCGCCAGCAAGGCCGCACTTCGCTGAGATTATCCATTTCCTGAAATAGATCTTTGTACAAGCTGTTACAAGCGAATGCAAAAACACAAGTAAGTACAACGCCGTCCAATTGCAGAATGAAATGAACGAACTTGAGAGGAGAGAGAGACCGAAGACGAAGACGAAGAAGACGACGACGACGACGACGACGACGAAGAAGAAGAAGAAGAAGAAGACGAAGAAGAAGAAGAAGAAGAAGAAGAAGAAGAAGAAGAAGAAGAAGAAGAAGAAAAGAAGAAGACGAAGAAGAAGACGACGACGACGACGAAGAAGAAGAAGAAGAAGAAGAAGAAGAAGAAGAAGACAGTGGCTCAAAAACGTCATATGGCTCGCTCCTCTCTTGATTTAAAAAAAAAAAATCGGGTCCCCTTTTGCTTGCTGGGAAGGTCGTGTTCGGAAGAAACACATCTTATGTACGTTGTGCACCACTCACTGCCATCCTCCCCCCACTCCCCCCTGCCCCCCCCCATCCCCCTTCTGTTTTTCTTTTCTTTTTTTTCTTTGTAAAGACCTGCCAAAACACAGACCGAGAACACTGTTCACTAATGGTTGATAGGTGGTGTCATGTTCGGGGAAACTTTCACCGAAACTGCCATATTCCACTGAATTCTTTCGCCTGTTTTTTTTTTTTTTTATGTTTGTATTATGAGCCTGCATTGTTTGTTCGCGAAATTTTCAACGGCATTGCTTGTGGTGATGCGGTGAAAGAAACCCAAAATTTGGGCCTTCCATTAACCATCCCTCCTATCCTGTGAACCAAAAAGATGAAGGTAGTGATATTCCAGTTTGTTCGTGCAGAGGACTGGTTTGATAAAAGGCACGGCTGGACGTAAAGCAGGAAAGGAAAGACAGGGTGATCAGCGCTCTCTTTCAGCACCCCATGACATCCACAGGGCATAAAATGAGACACTCAAAGCCACTTTCCTTTCCCTTACATAATATTGACTATTTACGATCAAATGTTTCGTCACAATGTGTGCAGCAAAATGCCAAGCTCCGATTAAGAATAAGATAACATACATCTGAAAGAAATGCTTCTCTTCTTTCATAATTGAAGTTTTGACTGGACGGGAAGAGCCAAATAAGGAGAAATGAATCAAAAACAGGCCAGCTCAATTCGTAGATCTCATTTGATAGCATTTGATACAAAAAGATCAACTAACAAAAAGAACTGGTACTTGCTATACAAAACTAGCACCGGAAAAATAACCATGATCTTTTCATCAACAGCTAATGGCTGTAACACCCAGTCACATGGATGGGCAAGTGGTTTCCTTCTTCTAGATCCTGCATGCAACATGTTTTAAACCTTTTTTCCCCTTTTCTTTTGTTCTCGAAACCATAGGCAGCAGGCCTGGGTGCTGAGTCCCACCTCCCACGTCTTCCTAGGGTCCCAGCCTTCAGTACAAGGCTACAGCTATGGAGTTTGCTCTCAGGGTCATTGGCTTTTTGTCAAACAAGGGTAAACAAACTGGAGGGGTTGACCAAAAGAATAAAAATGGGGAAGTGCCAAAAAAGAAAAACGGAGACGTACCGTCCATGAAGGATCTGGCTGAAGCGAACGCGCAGGAAGGCAGCTGGCTTTTCCCTGCATACACAGCAGATGGGATGCCGGCGATGTTGGCAAGGAGGTTTTTACTACTTTGCATTTCTAAGTTCTAACACGTTTACCACATGGCCACCCAGAGGATAGAGGATGTTACAGATCACACGAAGCTCAGCCAGAGTTGAAAAAAAAAAAAAAAAAAAAAAAAAAAAAAAAAAAAAAAAAAAAAAAAACAGGCTCAGCCAGATTACCCGTCTTCTGCTTGTTCATACTCACAGCGCAAAGCAAAAGGCGAAGGGTACCCAGTGGTCATAACGGCCTTAGCGAAAATTGCTCGGCTTAGTTGCACAACCTCCACTGGAGAATACCCATGCTCTTAAAAGCCGATAGTACACGGCCCCAGCCTTGCATAAAGTTTTTGTCGCCACAAGCAAAACTCGGAGGCCCCGCGCGGCCAGGGGCGCCCTTGAAAAAAATAAAAATTGGCGGCCTCCGAAGTGGTGCCACTGGTGCGGATTTCATGCCGACTCCCGCGGGCCGATGTGTGGTGTACTGGTGCTTCAAACCACCACCAGTACCTCCTGGGAAAATGGGGTCAACACCTGCAGACAAATGGCGAGCCTCCTGGTAACTAGAGCGTCTGTAAACCTACTGGTGGTTTAAACCGCCAGTACACGGGCCCAGCCTTGTTAAAAGAAACTCGTCGCCAGGTTCGAAAGTCTGTGGCCGGAGAGCCGTCGATAAAAAGAAAAAACATCAGCGGCCGGCGTGCCGTCGATTAAAAACATCAGCGGCCGGCATCGCGTTTCGGCCTCTGAAAGGGGCCCGTGGCCGATGAATGGAATATACTGGTGGTTTAAGGTCAACAATTTTCAGATTCTGTACCTGCACCACTGGATGGAAGTGACAATTACAAGCAGAAGACGATTGGTAGATCTCCCAAGTTCTAGTTTGACTATTCATAATCGGCATTAATTGCTATACTGATTACAGATGATTGGCAGATCTCCCAAGTTCCAGTTAACTAGACTAGGCATAGTTGCTACATGGATGGGGCTCATTGATGCCTCCTCCTTATTGCCTCCCTCTGCCCTGCACACCCCCAACCTCCCATTCACAGCACCACCGAGCACCCTGGGCCAAGCTCGGCCTCTGCTTCGCAATCTCAGAAAACATTTCCCTTACACTCTGGCCCCCTGCCAGTTTACACCATTCTCTCCCACTCCTTTCCCACCTCCCCTCTTTCCCACTCATTTCTCACTCCTTTCACATTAAGTGTTTGGTACTTCTGCTACAGGGCATGAGTCTGCGATTGTCTCTTGTCCAGATTCAAAACACCCATCCACAAAACCTGCCAACCTACACACCTGCAAGATCAAGAAGCCCCAGGTACACCATTCTCTCCCAGTCCTTTCCCACCTCCCCTCTCCTTTCCATCCCATACACTGGCATACAGATAGCATTAAGCGTTTGGTACTGCTTCTACAGCGTAGGAGTATGCAATTGTCTCTTGTCCAGATTCAAAGCACCCATTCAGGAACCTGCCAACTTACACACCTGCAAGATCAAGGAGCCTTTCTTCACCATTGGATGATTGTGTACATCTGTGCCCGAGGGAAGCACAAGGACTTCAGGCAGCAGGTCATCCCGTTTCACCTGGAACACTTAACCGCCAATGGCAAAACCGCGCGTCAGCAAACATATGCCCAAGAAAAACAAGGCTTATCAGTCATTCTTGCCTCCCACACAAAATGGGACGCACGAATAAATGGAAGCCAACAATTCAATGATCATTTCTCCAGTCCATACCACAAGCCTTCTCTCTCTCTCTCTCTCCTGTCTCTTATACACATCTAGATGTGTATAAGAGACAGGTATGAGCCTGAGCGGGCCACTTGGGTCAGGAAGTTAGCAGGTTGGGTTCGATTCATCGGAAGATGGGAAAATTCAGGTCGAAAATAGTCCTTTG